CTGCACGCACACACACACTTGGTTCTTGCCTTTGCTTGTGGCTTTTCTTTCTTTGCACTAAACCACCTCTCATTCTGAAGGACAGGAAGTTCATTCATGACTCCTGTAAGAACCTATTACTATATTTAAGATTCAAGAGTTCTTTTTAAGGAAACACCAAAAGCCTTCTCCAAAACAAGCCAGTCTTGCAAAGCTGTTCCTTATCTCCAAGCCAGAAATCCCTACACAAATTGCCTGGGGCTCTCTCCTCGGTTCTCCCTGACTCCTCCCCCTACCCCAGCCTTCTGGCTCCAGCCTTCAGGAAAGATCTGGCCACTGACAAAAAGGTTGATCTGGGACTTTGCAGACCTCCATGCAACAGCTGTCCACCCACTTCTTAGGACTCCATGTCAGAGGAAGAAGACATACATTGTTTACAAATCATTTCTACCACATATAAAATCAGCCATAGGCTTGGTGAGAAGACACCCATATGGAACACACTGTCCTGACACTACGGCAAGAAATGAGCATCTGATGGTTTAAATGTCTTCCAGACAGTGCATCCCTTCATGTTTTCAGAGCTTTAAAAATACCATTTTAAGGAAGAGGATATGGCGTGGCCTCAGAAATAGTACAACAGACATCACAGAGCCAACGCAATAAACATTAAATCCTGTTAATAGCAGGGCGCCTGGCTGGCTCAGTCAGAAGAGCAGGTGACTCTTGATCTCAGGACTGTGAGTTTGAGCCCCATGGTGGGTGTAGAGATTACTGAAAAAAATAAAAAATTTTTTAAAAATTAAAAAAAAAATACCATTAATATCTAACTTTTCAGTTAACCAAAAAGGTTTTAAATGACGTATCAAAACCATTGTTTTTAACTGAATCACTGACAATGTGTCCTATGACATAGAAGTATAGACTACTTTAAATAAAAGACACTGAAAAAGATATTCAGTTCAGCATTATTAGTAACAGCAACAAAGAGAGAAGAGGGGCGCCTGGGTGGCTCAGTTGGTTAAGCGTCCGATGTCGGCTCTGGTCACGACCTCCCAGTTCGTGAGGTCGAGACCCACATTGGGCTGTGCGCTGACAACTCGGAGCCTGGAGCCTGTTTCGGATTGTGTCTCCCTCTCTCTCTCTGCTTCTCCCTGGCTCTCACTGTCTCTCTCTCAAAAATAAATACACATTTAAGTTTTTTTTTTTTAAAGAGAGGAGAGAAAAATAGAATGGAAAGTAAATCATGCCTACTGTTTAATTTTCTAAATATCAATAGAACACCTACTTCGGTATCACAGGCACCAAGCTTAATGGCAGGGATACAGCACTTAAAAAGATAAAACATGGCTCTGCCCTCAGACTTTATTATGGGAAACATGCTAAAAAAACCAAAACACTACATTGTATATTTTCTTCAAGCAGTGATGCCACTATGCTATCCTAAATAACAAGAAAAAATAGTGAAATAATATGCAAACATTTTAAATGAGGTTAAAGAGGCTTTAATGACAAAAAAATGTTATTACAAGAAGAGTGTTTAATAAAATCAAGAAACAATTTCATAAAGTGTATCATCTCATCGCTGTGAAAAAAAAAAAAGAAAAAAGGTATACCAAGCAGATTCAGTGGTTGTAAAATCCATCTGTAAGAATATGATCAAGAGGAACTAAGAAAAATGATTAAAGGGACTTCTACACTCAAATAGGGAAACAATTTCCAAGCCACGATAAACAGGTCAGTGTGAAAGGGGGCAAGAATCAATGAATATCTGGGCTACAGGACAAATACCTATACAAGGGGCGAGGCGTTGTTTCTGGACCAATACCCTAGAATACAGCTTTTTTAAATGTTTCCAAAGCGGCATTTTAAGCCAGTGAGAAAAGGATAAACTAGGCAATAACTAGTAGGTTAACTATCTAGAAAAATAAACAAAGTTAGACCTTTATATCACATCATAAATTCCAAATGTAATGTGACAGTATAAATCTCACTGGTAAGGCTGAAAAAAATATATATATGTTAAGTAATAATAATCCAAAATATCATTAAATGCCTAATTACTACGTTTCAAAAAATATTGCAAATGCATTTCAGTGTTACAGCTTGGAAACCATGAAATGAAATTTAGGAAACTACTAAGTGATTTTGGGGTGGGTGGGCATTCTTAGCATAGAAGAAAAACTGTTTTAAGAGACTGAAAGATTTTACAATAGACATTCCAAATAAATTTTTACACAGAAAAAAAAAAATTATGACACAGATCCCACAGCATAAATATAATTGTCACCCAATAAATATAAACGGCTGGCAGCCAACAAGGGAAAGTGTTTGCAACATATAGCAACTAAAAGTTGATACTTTTCTAATATGATGTGCTCTTACAATCAGTGAGACATAAACCTCCCAATAGAAAAATGGACAAAGAACATGAACATTATTGATGGAGAAATCTAAAAGATCAAGAAACCTATTTTACAATAAATATTTGACCACACCGACTGACAGATGCTAGCTTACGATAAGCCCGATGACAGAAATTCTGCTTTAAGTTCCACGTTTCACTATTCAGATGAAAAGCCACAACATCCAATATTGGGAAAAAGACAGTAAACTGTGCCCTGCTGGGACATTCTGCTGAGAAGGCTTCGATCCAGTAATCCTACTTCGAAGGTAATTTATTAATTTTTTTTTTAATCAACATTTCACACAAAGATAGCAACTGAAAGCTGAGTGTCCATCCATGACGCTGCTCGAAGCAACAGACCTAGAACATGTGATATCTTGCAACCATTACAAAAATTTAGGTTCTCAAAGCATTTCGAATGAAATGAGAGAAGTTCAGGGGCACCTGGGTGGCTTGGTCGGTTAAGCGTCCGACTTTGGCTCAGGTCATGATCTCACAGTCTGTGGGTGCGAGCCCCACGTCCGTCGGGCTCTGTGCTGACAGTTCAGAGCCTGGAGCCTGCTTCGGATTCTGTCTCCACCACCCCCCACCTCCCTCTGCCCCTTCCGTGCTCACGTGCACGCAGGCTTTCTCTCTCTCTCTCTCTCTCTCTCTCTTTCAAAAATAAACAAACATTAAAAAAAAAAATGAAAGGCAGACATACTTCTGGAGTAGGGTCACAGTTCTAAAAGATGCATTCACAAATACACATGGAAATCAGGTTAGCAGGGGTTCTCAGGTGTAATTAGGAGATTTCACATTTTTTCTCTTCCCGTTTTCTTCCTATACTTGTCTAAATCACCCAAACTGTTAATCATGAGCACGTGTTATTTTAATAATCAGGAAAATGCAACTTAAAAAGTATCTAAAGTAAATACACCAAACTGACACAGGATAGTAAGACCATGAGGCAACTCGTTTCCCCTCTTAACTTTTCTGCACTGAACAAAGGAGAAACTCTTAAAAAAGGCCCGGTATGCGGACTGCCAAGCATGGTCCAAAGTTGGCTGATTAAAGGGGGGAGGGGTGCGGGGAAGGCAGGCAAAGGCCTTGCAGACGGGGCAGGGAGGCGGGTGCACACTCAGTGTCCAGGGCCAGACTCGTGGCCCCCAACCACTTACTCCTCAGCACCGCAGGACAAGACCAGAACAAGACCAGCCTCGGGCCTCAAAGCTCAGCAAACAGGAGCCAATTTCTCCAGGCTACCCTGAGACAAAAGAGCAGAGGCCCAGACAAGAAAGCAAAGGTACACAAGTTTGTAGCATCTGACCTTCTCTGAAAGAGGAAGGAAAATGGCGGAAGCCCCTCCACAGACCAGCCCAGAGGCATTCTTCCCCATGGCCACCTCATACAGTCAGAGCCTGAGTCAGGCCCCCTACTGCTAACTGAGTTTGGGCCAGGCAACCAGCTGAGGCCAGGGAGTCACCCAGGGGGACAGGCATGCCCTTCCACTGGGTCATGTCAACCATGGGAGGGGGGGCTTGCTTCCTTCCGGAGAAGACGCAGAGCCACCTGCTGGCACTCAGCTGGTCCCCACCCCCCCCCGGCCAGAAGCTGGGCAGAGGACAGCCGACGATCCGGCTGCATTTCCACCCCTGGCTGGCCCTCCAAATTCAGGACTCCCAAGTTTTCCAGCAAGGAGGCAGCCCACGTAAGACAAAAGTGCCGTGGCACCCTGCAGGACAGTGCAGGCCCACCGACACGGCTGTGCTCCCTGCCCCTCTGCTCTCCCCACGGAGAAACACAGGGTCAGCGAACCCACTTGATGCCGGGGTGTCTAGGAGGTGACCCAGGAAGGAAGTTCAATAAACACACACACAGGCTCACACAGAAACCGCAAAAACGCCATCTGTTGGGATGCTGATCCACGTGTCCTGATAAAGGCAATCAGCAGCCCAACAGCCGTTATCATTGCAGACACTTAGAACAACTTCATTCCTTTCGAATGTCCCAAAATTACACTTCTCGGTTTCCATGTGAAAACGCGGAGCACAGAGAAGGCAGCTCAAAGTCACGGACCTGAGATTCAGACTGCAAAGCCCACGCCACTTCTCCCAGGACGCGTGCACGGCCCTGTCACCAGCACCACACAGGGCTTCCGTCTGGCACGTGCGGGGTCCAGCCCCCGTGGCGCATTAGGACGGGGCCAGTCTTCCCGCCACGGACTGCTGCGGCTCCAGAAAGGACAGCAGGTCCGCTATACCTCACATGCTCCATCTACGTCCAGGCAAGGACATCGGTCGTGGTCACAGTCAACAGTAATCACACCAGTGGCCACGGATCGCTGAGCACCTGCCCCACGGAGGGCGTGCACAAGAAACCGCGCGTACCCCGCGGCTGGCCTGAATAACAACACAGCTGCTGCGTCCACTCTGCAGATGAAGACACAGAGGCTCAGGGAGGTCCCACAGCTGGGAAATGCATGTGTCTGACGCGACAGCCTCCCTCCCGACTAACCCCACTGTGACAAGGTAAGGAAGCCGGAAGGGGGTCATTCAGGCCGACTCCCCATCCCTCCTGGGAGGTCGCACCGGCCCCCAGGCTCTGCCCCGGCCCCCCGCGTTCCAGCCACTACCTTGGTTGAGATAGGTTAGGGTCTCTTCGTGCAGCTTCACGGCCGGGGACGTGGCAGCACACAGCACGTACTGCAGGGGCGGCAGGCGGGCCTCACTCTCGGGGGACAGCTGTGGCTCCTCTTGCTTGAAGATGGGCAGGGCGAGCACATCGCTGCAACACACGGAGGGGGCAGTCAGGCATGGGACCCCCCCGGGAGCCCCAGGGCGAAGACACAGCCTCGATGGACAAGCGGATCCTGACCTAGGGGCACCCAGGGCAGGGCAGCGCAGCGAAATGCAGGGCAGCGTGCTGGCTCAGCTTTCTGAACCCCGAGTACCAACGCTCAGAGAGGCAGGTTTCCAACAGAATACACCTGTCCCCAGTGGCCCTGCAGGGATTTACAGAATCGAATCAAGGAGGCAAAAATGCAAACTTATCTACTATCTACAAATTACAGAAGTCTTCTCTGTGTCACAGGGACCAGCGGCAGTGGGGTAAACTGTAAATGCCACATGGTTTCCATCCACAGGAGACTGCTCCTTAGGAAGGCTAGCTTTTAGTTAGCATAAGAATCTTAACAAAACCTGTAACTTTTTAAGTCAGCCATTCTATTCACTGGTGGCTTCTCGGGCCAATTCACCCCTGTCCTTAGGGTTCTGTAAACTATGCAAACATGTAGGAATTGCATTTCACTCACTCAGGTGACACCCTACCACCACCACTCTTCAAAAAAAAAAGGACAGTCGACTCATAATTTTAAGGGTCATACAGTATCTCCTAAATGCAAAACAAGCAGGAAAGACCTTGGCTTTAATTCAGTTTTCTTTATCCAACCGGAAAACATCAAGATGCTCAGAGATTCTTTTCCTCCACCTCTGAACAAATCCCCCTGACATTATCCAAAAAAAAAAAAAAAAAAAATCAGTCTCACATCAGCCTAGGACTTGTATCTAGATGTACTGTTGAAGTGTCCTCACAAGGGAAAAAGAAATTCTTGAGAACGCGAATGACCTGTGAGCAGGAGTGGCTTTAAGACCTCTAAATTACAAGCAGCTAGGAAACCAGGGCCAAAAAAGCGCTGGGGCCCTTATCTTGATCACCCTCCTCCCTCTGAGTGTCCCGGGTTATGAATCACATCCACTGACCCCGCTTCACTATATAAACCACAGAGTCACTGGTACAATCTGTTCCTCATTTGACACAATAAACCAGTAGTCTCTAAAACACAAACCCGGCACACACCCGAGCAATGCCAAACCATTCGCGGGAATTAAAGTCTGGCTCAGAGCACACCTGGAAACTCTCCTGAG